ATGGGGGTATAATCAGATTGCTATCTTAAAAGTCACTTGAAATTATTATTTTCTTTATATAGGTATGTCACCAATTAGATATATGGTTGGGTTCATTTGTTTATTCTGTATATCTGTTTATTTTCAATTATCAGGTTTGTTTTTTCTTTCTCTTTTTGAATATGTGAAGCATTTAAATGGCTCAAAAGTCATATATAAAAAGGTATACTTGGAGAGGACTTTTACCATCTCTTACAATTCTACTCCATTCACCATCCCACTTTGGCATTGGTGTTAGTTTTTGATTTATCCTTTCAATGTTTCCTTCCAGAAAAAAAGGCAAATAAATATATATTTTATGTTTTATTGCTTTTATGCTTAACAATTTATCTGAGAGATTAGGTCAAGTGAGGATGTAGGAAATTTTCTCATTATTTCTTATGGTTGCATATGACTGTATAGCACTACATTGTATAGATGTATGGGGTTTAATCAGCCACTTACAATGTGTATATAGGCACCATATTCAACAAGGTCTTGCTAGACAGTAACACTGGGCTCTCTCCAGTATATGGTGGTGGTCATTTTCTAGCCTGCTGCAACAAATTACCACAAACTAGGTGGCTTAAAACAACAGAAAAGTATTTTCCAATAGTTCTGAAGTTCAGAAGTCTGAAATCTAGGTGATGGCTAGATTGGGCTCCCTCTGGAAAACTCCCATAGAGAATCAATCCTTCCTTGTTTCTTCTAGCTTCTGGTGGTTCCAGGGATCATTTGACTTATGGCTATATGATTCCAATCTCTGCCTCCATTTTTACATGGCCTTCTCTGTGTATCTTCTCTTTTTCCATCTCTAATAAAGACACTCAATAGATTTAGGGCCCGCCAAGATATCTAAGATGATTTCCCTTTGAGGTCCTTAACTTAATTATATCTGCACAGATCCTTTTACTTTTTTTTTTGTAAAGAAACTTTGTAAAGTTCCTTTTATTAGAGAGAGAGAGAGAGAGAGAGCAGCACAAGTGGGGAAGAAAAGCAGAGGGAGAGAGAAAGAGAATGTCAGAGTGGAACTCGATGTGGGGCTCAGTCCCGTGACCTTTGGATCATGACCTGAGTGGAAATCAAGAGTTGAGGGGCACATGGGTGGCTCAGTCAGTTGAGCGTCCGACTTCAGCTCAGGTCATGATCTCACGGTTCGTGGGTTCGAGCCCCGCATCAGACTCTGTGCTGAGGAATAGCTCAGAGCCTGGAGACTGTTTCAGATTCTGTGTCTCCCTCTCTCTCTCTGACCCTCCCCTGCTCACGGTGTCTCTATCTCAAAAATAAATAAAACATTAAAAAAAAAAAAAAAAGAGCTGAAACCTAAACCAACTGAGCCATCCAGGAGCCCCAGATCCTTTTTTCCTTTTTTTTTCTTTTTAAATGTTTTATTTATTTCTAGGAGAGAGAGAGAGACAGCGTGAGCAGGGGAGGGTAAGATAGAGAGGGAGTCACAGACTGAAACAGGCTCCAGGCTCTGAGCTGGCAGTCAGCGCAGAGCCCGACGCGGGGCTGGAACCCACGAACCGCGAGATCATGACCTAAGCGAAAGTCGGACGCTTAACCGACTAAGCCACCCAGGCGCCCCCAGATCCTTTTTCTAAAAAAAAAAAAGAAAAAGAAAAAAAAAGAAAAGTCAATGACAGGTCCTGGAGATTAGGATAGGATATATCTATTCAACCTAATACACTGGCTATTATAAACACTTGCAGAAGGAATAACCTTCCACATGTGGTTTTATATTTGTGGGGCAGAGTTTGTTCTTAGAAGTAGGATTTCTGTGTCAAAGGTCAAACAATATATAATTTCACCAAATTCCCCTCCATAGGAATTGTACTATTATGTTACACTTCTATCAGCTATGGTTTTCTACAGCTCTGCTGCTAGAGTGTACTGTCAAACTTTGTGGGTTGTTTTGTTTTGTTTTGTTTACTAATCCAAATGGTATTTCAGGGTAGTTTTAATTTGCATTACAAGATTTTTAACTCTTGATTTCATTATTTTTATTAATGAAAGCAGGGCATTTATTCAATAGCATGTAAGTATCTGCAAAATGCTTGGCACTCTGAAACTCCAGGGATAAATAATTAATTAAAAAGACAGTAATGTCCTCGAGGAATTCATAGTCCAGTAGAATGATTTTTGTTATTAAAATTTTTTAATGTTTTTATTTATTTCTGAGAGAGAAAGAGAGACAGCGTGAGCAGGGGAGGGTCAGATAGGGAGACACAGAATCTGAAGCAGGCTCTAGGCTCTGAGCTAGCTGTCAGCACAGAGCCCGAAGCGGGGCTCGAACCCATGAACCGTGAGATCATGACCTGAGATGAAGTCAGACACTCAACTGACTAAGTCACCCAGATGCCCCTCCAGTAGAATGATTTTTGAAAGCAACAGAATGTAATCAGCATTTTTATTTATTTTTGTTTCTTGTGGAATATTACATGTGGATGAAAAAGCATCAAAGTAATAATTTATATTTCTTGAATTTTTAGAGAAGATCTGGAGTTCTACATTTTCATCAGTAAATAAAGTCTAGATATAATGGATGAAATGAATTTATATGATGAATGGATGAGATGAATGCCTACTTCTGGTAATACAAAGTTTTGACAGTGACATGTGTTTACTGTATGTTGACATTTATCTTTTCATTTATTCATTTGTTCTGCCCTTTGACCAGATTGGAAGCCTTGGAGGACAGGAGGCTGCATCTTACACATCTTTTTATTCCCAAGGTTTAGATTCATGCCTTGTACACAGAAGATGCTCCATAAATGTTTGATGACAATGACAGAAAGATAGAAAATTTGAATTCCCTAGACAAGCCTATCCTATTTTTTTAATTTTTGAATCAAAGGTATCTTCTTCTAAAGGAATGCAGCAGTGAATACTGTGACATACTATGTGTAACCAGGTACAGCCTAAGTTGCTGTGACAAAGACACCCAAAATGCTTTAAAAGAAAAGGCTATTTCTTTCTTGCAATAGTCTTGAAGGGTTTGTGGCCCTTTTTGAGATGCCATCTGGGGACCCAAGCTGGCATCATCCTGGGTGTGGGCTTCCATCTCTAGATCTGAGATTCACCCATGTTATTGGGTTTATTAGTAATCAATTCTTTTTTACAGCCGAATAATATTTCTTTGCATGAATATGTCCTCATTCTATCAATGCTATTTTGATAACTCTAAAAATAGAGAGAAGGTCTAGCAACCAGAAGATACGTTTTTGCATGCTTGGATGAGATAAATAGGACTATTTTAGCTCTTTATTGCATCTTATTTACCAAACTCTTTTTGAGTGCTTCTAGAGGCCAAATATCATGCTAGTAATGAGAATACAAAGCTATGCAAATCCCCAGTTCTTGCCCCAAGTTACAGGTTCCCCTGAATGAGAAAATGTTGTGTTGTCCCAATTGGATGGAAACCACATGATTTAATTTAATTTAATTTAATTTAATTTAATTTATTGTTTAAGTTATTGTGATTTGAGTTTTCTTTTTTTTCTTTTATAGTTTATTGTCAAGTTGGTTTCCATACAACACCCAGTGCTCATCCCCACAAGTGCCTTCCTCCATGCCCATCAACCCTCTTCCCCTCTCTTTCACCCCCATCAGCCCTCAGTTTGTTCTCAGTATTCAAGAGTCTCTCATGGGAAACCACATGATTTGAAACAGCCAACTCAAGTACTTGCTCAAATTTTCTTAAAATTTGAGCATCAAAGGATCCAGATCTCAATAAATAATCCTACAGATCTCTTGTAATAAATCTCCAGACCAAACTTCATCTCAAAGTTTTGCTGGAGGCACTTGGCTTTAAAAAGCATACCAGCCTGGGAGTCAGGTCCCTCAGGTTCTATTTCTGGTTCTGCTACTGGATTCTTACTCAGCCTTGCACAATACAGAGAATGTGCACTTCCTATATAAAGCAAGAGACAAGATCCTGAGGAGCAAGGAAACCTTATACCCTAAGTGAAGTTGGGTCCCAGGAAACAAGGGGACTGGCTGGACTCCTCACGCAGAGCCTAGGGATGCTTTTCCTGCTGTCAAAGTCATTCATTTTAGTGTGAAATTGGAGCTCTGATTTTAGTATGGTCGAGGGACTTCAATTCGCTTCCTGGTGTGAATCCAGAGCCTAAACGGAAAATGGTTTGCACCTTAAAAGCCTTTTCTTATGGCTCCTTGGTGGCTCAGTCGGTTAAGCGTTGGACTTCACCTCAGGTCGTGACCTCAGGGTTCGTGAGTTCGAGCCCCGCCTCGGGCTCTGTGCTGACAGCTCTGAGCCTGGAACCTGCTTCAGATTCTGTGTCTCTCTCTCTGACCCTCCCCTGCTCACGCTGTCTCTCTCTCTCTCTCAGAAATAAATAAAAAAAAATTTAAAAGCCTTTTCTTACTTGTAAGTTTTCTTACTGATATGTTTCTGTGGTTGACGTTGCGCTAGAGGCAACTGGGTGGGTAGTACCCACCAAAGAGTGAAAGCTTAGGGGTTCTGGGCCTGTCTGGACGGGGTCTGGCGGATGCTGTCCAGCGGTTTGGGGAACTCTGGAAACACAAGTCGCGGCCCCTCGTCCCCTGGAGAACTACATTTCCCTGGAGAACTTGCGGCCCCACGGCCTGTTGAGGAGGAAGAACGTGCTCAGACCTAGCCCATTGACTCCTATCGTGCCTAAGACACGCCACCCTGATTGGAGGGCTCTTTCGCAGTGTATTCTGGGACTTGTAGTACAGCCTGTGCAAGCGGGGAGCTTCTTTGTGATTCGTGGCGCCGACTCGGCGCTCCGGGCGCGCTCCCGCGAGGCGGTCCGAAAGGCGCGCGCCTGCGCCGCGCCCGGAGGGGCGGCCAGCGCCTCCCGCGGGGCGGGGCCGTCGGTTCCGCGCCGACAACGCCTTCCTGCCCCGCCCTTCGCCGGACCCGGCCCGCCCCTCCTTCCTGGAGCCACAGCTGAATCCGCGGTGGTAGCGGCGGCGGCCCGGCGGGGGGCGGCGAGTGGCCCGCGCGACACGCGCCGGCCCGGACCTTATGCGGTGACTCTCGCGGCGCAGGCGCCTCCTGCCCCGCCGGCGGGGCCTGGGTTTCCCGCGGCGGGATGTTCTCCCGAAGGAGCCACGGGGATGTAAAGAAGTCCACCCAGAAGGTGCTGGACCCGAAGAAGGACGTGCTGACCCGCCTGAAGCACCTGCGGGCGCTGCTGGGTGAGGCGCGCGCCGGGGCGCCGGGCTCGGGGGCACCTGCCCAGACGCGGGGCGGGCGATGGTCGGGGCTGGAATACCGACGGCATCTGGAGGTGGGGGCGGCGTCAGACCCTCCTCTCTGGCGCCCGGCATTGTTCCCCAACAGCGGGCACTCTGGCCCTTGGGCTCTGCCCTGTCGCCCAGAGTGTAAATTTACCCCGGATTCGCGCCCGGTCACCTCGAGGCCAGTGGAGCCGTGACTCTTACCTCCTCAGCAAATCCTGGACTCCAGGTGCTACACACACACACACACACACACACACACACACACTGAACTATCTCTTCCTTTCCCGTTTTTGGACTCTGACACCCTTAGACTGAGTCTCCTAAGTGTTCCCAGCACAGACTTAATTGAACTGTCATCTCTTTCGTGGGCCCCCTCCCCTTAAATTTTATTTTTACTTTTGAGTTGGAGTCTTCAAATAGACTGAGACATGAAGTGCCCCCAGGATAAATTTAATTTAGCTGTCATCCCTCTTCCCATGCTCCTATTTTTATTTTTATTTTTATTATTTTGGGTCTGACTGTTTAGGTTTCTTTGTGTCCTTGGTGTGAAGGGTGGCTCCTCATGTCTGCTTGGAGGGAGTGGTGGCTTTCCTGGGTTCCAGGAGGCTGCTGCTTCTTTAGTGCCAGGATGACAGTGATAGTTATTTGCCTTCTTTCGTTTTTATGGACTGCTCGGTGGAGGTTTTGTGCAGCCCTGGGGCCCTGCAGTTGACCTGTGATGAAGCTCATCCTTGTGGGTGTGAGGTGTCCACAAGGCTTCCTGTCACCTGCTGCTTGTGATCTGTAGCTGCTTTTGCTAGGCTGTGTTTAATTTTGTTTTCTTACCTACTTAGTCTTAACTTTTGTTAAGGACCAAACACCTGGGCTGTCTATAGTGTTTTGCAGGAGGTGTGGGGGCGGTGGGGAGTGTGTGAGAAAAGAAAACCTCTTCTTCTAGATATCTTTTTTATTCTTAAACTGTGCAAAATTCACCTGATTTAGGACACATAGGCTTAATGTGTCTGTCACGTAGGAAATATGGCAAAAAATAATTCATTTTATATGTGAGAATTTTAAATAAAGCTCTTGTTCATGAGATTAAAAGTTGCTAACTATTTCTGTTTATACTCTGAAGCACCTCTGAGGAAACACACAGCTACATGGTTTCTTCAAGTGAAGTTATTCACAGTCTCGAATTCCTTGAGATTACACTATCTTGTTCAGTTTGGAATGAAATGTAAATTAGTTACTTACTGTTAGAGGGGTTAGTTTTCGAGACTTTTGAAAGTGAAATGTGGTGTCCTTGGTAAACTGAACTGTCCGCTTCCTGTAGTAAAATCTCATGCACACACAGGTTGCATTGTGCAGAGTTCTTGATAGTGACTGATTAACACCTACTGCAGGGACATTTTTGATAAAGGAGACTTGAACAGTATTCTAAAGCATTTGATACTCTGGGACTTTTCCTGCGGTAGAGAATTTGAACTTCTGTTCTGTCAGAGTCTGCAGGATTAAGTGGCTACATTTTGTAAAGGCAGAATCAATTAAACCTAGATCAGTTTGGTTTCTTAGAGATCCAGGATAGGTTATTACCATTTTGAGAAAGTAGTTAGTTTTCAAGGCTGTGTAATTGAGGTTTCACTTTAAGGTGGATATCCTATTTTGAGGAAGTTTCTTTTTTCATTTTATTGAGTTCATTATGACCTCAGTTTTGTAACAAGGAGAGGTTCTTCGATGTTAGGTTTTTTTGTTGATGCATTTGTTTGTGGAATGATCCTGTTTACTTTATTGTTGCAATCTTTATCCACAGGGACTAGATTTTTGTAAATGTGTGTGTGGAATTCTACTTATAATGTCTAATGTAAACTTTTCTTAACAACTATGTTTTAAAGACTTAAAGAAAGGGGCGCATGGGTAGCTCAGTTGGTTAATCATCCAAGTCTTAACTTTTGGCTTAGGTTACCATCTCATGGTTGTGAGATCAAACCCCACGTCTGGCTCAGTGCTGAGTGTGGAGCTTGGGATTCTCTCTCTTCCTCTCTCTCTGCCCCTCCCCTGCTTGTGCTCTTTCTTTCAAAATCAACAAATATAAAAAAAAACTTTAAAGACAAACAGTATATTAATGTACTAGTTCCTAGCACATCATGTACCCTATTTGTTTGCTACCTTAAGAAAAAAGTCTGCTTAGAAGAAATGTGACTCTTGATCTGAAAGATAAGAATTGGCCAAGATCAAGAAAACTATTTGAAGGAATTGAATGTACATTATTATTGTATTTTTATTTGCATATTCATGTAATACTCTTGCTTTTCACATATTTTATCTTTAAGTGATAATACAGATGTTCTTTTTTTTACATAGAAAGATGATACCACTGACCTGGATTTGCAGTTTTAGCTGCATCACTTTGGTTCGTTACCTAGCCTGTCTCTGAACTTCAGTTTCTTTACTCTGTCAAATGGGTATGGTAATGTCTGCCTTGTGGGTGTAATATATAAATTTCTTCAGCTTGGAGCAGGCATGTAACAGTTTCCTTTCCCACTATTTTCCTCCTGTCATTAAAAGAATAGGACAAGTATTTTGATAGGTGGCTTCCAACCCTCCCCCTTTATATTTTGATAATTGCTGTGAATTTGTTCTCTCTTTATAAAAATTAGTCTGTGTTTAAGACAACTGGCTAAGAAACACACAATGAACTGTGGAAAGTAGAATATTTCTCAGTCATGGTAATAGTTCTGAACAGTTAGAATTTGCTTAGCTACTTTAACCTGGCTGCATATTATAGATTGGCCTGATATTATTAACTTCATTTTACAAGGGGGGGGGGGCGGAGAGACTGAGGCACAGGCAGACCTTACAAGGGGCCAAGCAATGTACTTAATGGTCTGTATATATTGTGTTAATCACAGGTCTGTAGCCATGAGCTGTTAGGTTCCCTGACTTCCAGTTCTCCCTACATTGTTGACATCATCAGTGGAAAACTAAATGAGTACACACAGCACAAACCAAAAAAATTCCCTGTATTGTCATCTTGCTCCAGCAAAGATTCCATGTTTAATTAAAAATTGAGGGCCTACTCTGAGTCCTAAAATAGAAATGGCATTGATGTAGCAAGAAGACTGGATGTAATAGTAAGCATATAGTATGGTATGTAATTAGATAGTGTCTTTTATGGTGGACTCCAAATATAGGATTTCAAGGGGTCAAAAAAGATCATTAAAAGTAGCATAAAGAGAAGGGTATCTTGAAGGAGGTTTTACTCATCCTGGGCCCTGAAAGATGGTTAGACTAGTTCTGTCCAATAGAAATACAATGTGAGCCACATGTATAACTTAAATTTTTAGTAGTACATTTAAAAACATAAGAAGCAGATGAAATTAATTTTAATAATACATTTTATTTCATCCCACAGACCTAATATATATTATATCAACTGGTAATCAATATGAAACATTATATTTTTTACACCAATTCTTTGAAGTCCAGTGTGTATTGTATACTTATAACACATCTCATTTCAAACTAGCTGCATTTTAAGAGCTTAGCAGCCACATGTGGCTAGTGGCTGCATACTGGACAGAGCAAGCTTAGAATTTGGGGAGGGCAGTTCCAAGCAAGGGGACATGGAAGCTGGTAGTGGAAATACACATGGCAATGATGTGGAAAGGTGAGGAACACCAACCTGCCCGTTCCTCCTGTCCAGTGAGGGAATCATAGGGTAATGCCAGTCATGAGGTAGAGGGCTAGAACTCTTGCCCTCAGGGTGTACATAGTGTCAGATGAGGATTACAGTGCTGTGTAGGCCAGGGGTGGGAGCAGGACAGTGAGTTGGACTGTGGGATGTTGGTGGGGGAGAGGAGTGGTGGCCTGACTTGGGCAGGCCAGATCAGAAAAGGTCTTGTTTGTTTGAGTTGGAAATTCATATCTTATCTTGGAGGTGAGAGGGCCCACTTGAAGAACTCTTAGTAGGTCAAATGATAATATTTGAGAGCTGCCTGTCAGCAGGGCCAGGGAGATGGACTGGGGGGTGATGGGAGGTGACACTACTGGCAGTGAAGACGCAGATGACAAAGGTCTGAAATGAGATGCTCCACGAATGGAGAGGAGGTGCAGGATTACAAAGGACTAATGCAGCAGGAGCTAGTGATTGTCTAAGTGAAGTAATGAAACTGAGGTTTGCAGAAGCCACGCAAGGAGTGATCAGTCTGAAGGAGAAGAGATCTGGGATGAAAGGCCATAGTCAAGTCTAATCAGGTGACATCAGGGTTTGGGCCAAATATTTGAAACCAGAGAGGAGAGTGCAGTCTCTCACAAATCCTCTCTGTATATGGACAGAGTAAAATGGGACATTTCAGTATATTTCCCTTTAAGCACATGTTGCCTTAGCTAGGGACAAGTTAGGAACAAGTTCACTTAAAATTTTTTTTATTATTTATTTTTTAATATTTATTTTTGGGAAGAGCACAAGTGGGGGAGGGGCAGAGCAAGGGGTACAGGGGATCCAAAGTGGGCTCCACACTGACAGGCTGAACAAGCTGGAACTTAGGAACTGTGAGATCATGACCCGAGCTGAAGTCGGACACTCAGCCAACTGAACCACCCGGGTGCCCCTCACTTACTCACTTTAAATGTTGCCTTTTAAACATACTTTATTCTTAACATTTCCCTACCTTTCCCCCTCCCTACCCCCATCATTTTTATTAACTACAAACATTTGTTGAAACTATGTAGTGTAAGTTAGCTTACCATTTCCTGGTTGGTTAAATTGTTTCCTTCCTTTCTCTCTTTCTCTAATGTAAATAATACTGCTGTAAACATCTTGGGAAGCAGTTTTTTCTATATTTTGTGTTATTTCCTTAGGACAGACTCCACTGAAGTCAAATTGCTGGGTTTGAACATGTTTATGACTTGATTCACTGTGTTTTCCTAAGTGTTGCTCCCAATGAACCTGCTAGCAGTAAGGATTGAGGCTATCA